TAAAATCTCCAATTAAAATCTTGCTTACAAGATCATGATATATATCTAAATTTCATATCCAATTACAATATGGCTAGCCTCCTAACTCATCACTCTCCTCGTTTTTCCCCGTCCTTGACTTCGCTTCTTGAAATGGTGGACAAGGGAAAACTATGAGATAACTTAGTAAGTAAATATGGATAGCCCTTGAGTAAAATTTTAGTATGCCAGATAAACAATTTAACGTAACAAAACGTTCAATGATAAACCGTTAATACAGAATCAAATTCAGTTCAATAGCAAAGCGTTCAATGACGAATCGTTAATGCAAAATTAGATTCAGTTCAATAACAAAGCGTTCAATGACAAACCGTTAATGCAGAAGAAAATTCAGTAGTAATCTCATCTATAAGTTATGGCTAGCGTTTAACACCCATTGGCAGGCGTCAGAATTTACCAATGTGTTCGCCCATTGGCAAGCGTCAGAAATTACCAATGTATTCGCCTAGTGGCAAGCATCAGAAATTACCAATGTATTCGCCTAGTGGCAAGCATAAGAAATTACCAATGTATTATCCCATTGGTAAGATTACAGAATGAACCGGTCATATCAGTAAACATGTCGACATGTGCTAGTGTTACTCCCACTAGCAGGGATCAAAAATCATGACTATATTAGAGACAAAACCATGCAGGATTTATAGAAAATTCTGAAATTCACAATCAATATCAAATTTTAGAAATAAACCGGAAAATTCCCATGTGGGCATGGATTTAATGTAAAAATCGAAATTTACAAAATTCTCAGTTCATCAGGGCAGTTCAGTCAATTTCAAGTAGGCATGCTCTACTCAATGCAAATGAAAACAATTCAATTTCAAACTAATCATGCTTGGTGCTAATAAAATCAATTTAAACCAATAAATCAATTTAAACACTGCCACCATCTCAAAAACAATTAAAAATATGCTTCAAAATCGAAGGGCGTTACCATAATTTACTTACCTCATTCGCATAAACCGAAGACTCAATCTCAGTGCTAAATTAACAGAACGATCAGGAACCTAATCAAAATATTCAAGAATTAATTATCGTACCATGAATTCAAAAGTAAAATCACCATGACTACCCCCTAATCATGATGCTATTTCTCTTAGTCTCCATATGACCGGATATCTCCAAATTTATGCTTATATTATAAACTAAACATTTAATCCCCGTTAATGTTGGCCATCAGTGCATAAACAGTACCCATAAACAGTAACCGTGAACAGTAATTACGCATGAATTAAGCTTAATTATGCTCTAATTACTACCGAAATTCATCCCCATTTTTTAGCAAAATTTGGACAGCATAGGCAGCAATTAGATGGCTAAATTTCAGCAGTTAAATGGGTAAAATTTGGACTTAGAGAAGCTGCCACATACCACAATTTTCCAGCCGCAGGAATCGGAGCTGGCGGGTTGGGGAAGCCAACGGGAACCTGGAGGGGCAATCACGCAAACTACCCAAAATTGAAAGAAATCAAAAGAGTTTAGAGTGAACCCAAGTTAAATTAAGGCTAAAATGAGGAACTCATGGCTGTTGCTTACCTAAAAATGCCCAGAATTCGCACCCACAAACCGGCAAGAGCAGTAACCGGACGGACAGAGCAGAGCAGATCCGGATTTCTGCAGAGAGAGGGGGGGGGGGAATTTCTGGGTTCAATTTGTGTTCTAGAGCAAGAAAAGAAGGAGAAATTCCCAAGCTTTTACCGGTTTTTCTTCAAGGGAGGGCTGTTGGCAGCTTAGGGGCTTTGTTCGGCTGCTGCAGAGGAGAAGAAAAGAAGAGCAGACACGCGGGTGAGGAAGAAGAAAGAAGGAAAAAATAGGCAAAAGGTACCCGTTTGCCCCTTAACTTTTCGACTTTTAGGGTTTTTACCCTCCATATTACAATATATGGATTTTTACCCTCAACGTTTTCGAGTTGAGGAAATGAGGCAAAATTTAACGCCGGAACGTCACGTGTAGCACGTGCACCGTTGGCCTTCGTCAAGTATGCGCATGTCAGTGCCAACTCAGAATTTTTTGACAACCTGGCATGCCAACTTGGAACCCCACGAGCGGGAAGTCTACTTGCTGCCAATTTTTTTGTGGGCCCCACTGCTGACTAAAGGTTTTAAGAAAAAAGTTAAATCCTCGATTCAGTCCCTTAACTTTCATTTTTCAACTAAATTTACCTCGAACTTCAAAATATTGTGACTTGGCACCAAAAATATAATTTAATAAATAAAAAAAAAATTTTCTCCTTCCCTTCCCTACTGGGTTCAAAGGAACCCAGCACTAGCGCCTGGGACAAATCACAGTTCTCTGCCTCCTTTCTCACAACATCAAGAACAGCATCAATGAGCTCAACTCCCTCAGTGTAATGGCCCTTAGCCCAGTTGTTACCAGCGCCAGATTGACCAAACACAAATATCACTATCAAATATGAAATTTCAAACACTAAAATACCCGAGTCAGCAATTTCTCTGATTTTCCAACCTACTTTCTCGGCAAACAAACAGAAAACCAAAGATGAGGATTTTATACTTACATCGATCAGAGGCGGAGAGAGAGAAAAGAGAGTACAGAGCACGCACGCCTGGGTTCAAGGAACCCAAGCCTGGGTTCCTTCGAACCCAGGCGTGCTGGGTTCGAGGAACCCGTGCTTGGGTTCGAAGGAACCCAGGCGTGCTGGGTTCGAAGGAACCCAGGCGTGCTGGGTTCGAAGGAACCCAGGCGTGAGTTCCTCAAACCCAAGCCCTGGGTTCCTTCGAACCTAGTAGGGAGGGGAAGGAGAAAAGGAAAGAGAAGGAGAAAAAAAAAAAAGGAAAGAAAAGAAAAAAGAAAAAAAAGAAATTTTTATTTATTAAATTATATTTTTGGTGCCAAGTCACAATATTTTGAAGTTCAAGGTAAATTTAGTTTAAAAATGAAAGTTAAGGGACTGAATCGAGGATTTAACTTTTCTTTTTAACTTTTCTTTTTAACCTTTAATCAACAATGGGGCCCACAAAAAAAATTGGCAGCAAGTAGACTTCTCGCTTGTGGGGTTCCAAGTTGGCATGCTAGGTTGTCAAAAAATTCTGAGTTGGCGCTGACATGCGCATACTTGACGGAGGCCAACGGTGCACATGCTACACGTGACGTTCCGGCGTTAAATTTTACCTCATTTCCTTAACTCGAAAACGTTGAGGGTAAAAATCTATATATTGTAATATGGAGGGTAAAAACCCTAAAAGTCGAAAAGTTAAGGGGCAAACGGGTACCTTTTGTCGGAAAAAATATAGTGGATCCTTATCCAAATTTTAACTCTTTTAAGTCCCTCAAGTTTGGAAAGTTTTCCATTAAGCCCCAAAATAATATTTCCTCACACAAAGGTCCTTAACTTAGATGCTAGAATTCCCGAAAATTTGGGATATTACAGTTTGGAGACCAAAAGTGTTCAAAATGTAAAGTTTAGGAGCTAAATCGACATTTAACTAAAAAATTATCACTTTGAAAGAGTAAAAGCAAATTTTTCTCTAAAAATGTTTTCAAACTTTTTTTTTGGGTACAATGTTTTCAAACTTTAGAGAGATAGTAAATTGCTTACAAGCATCACTAACTTATAAGCTCTACCAAACATGACCTTCAATTCTTTCTTCATGAATTCAAGACAATCAAGCAATTTTCTTATACTAGTATCTTTAAGGAATTTTTCAAATGTAAAAAATTCATAATTTTACAAAAAAAAAAAAAGAGAATTATTAAAGTTTTGCATGCAATGGATACAAGATAAAAGCTATTCTTGTTAATTATCCATACTAAAGCTAGTACGATTCGCCAAATCTTGAGCCATTCTTTGCCCTTCCGCAAATTATTTATCTTTAATTTAAGATTTAGCCCTCAAAATTTTCTATTTTTCTAGTTAATTCCAAATTATAAAAACTAATAAAAGAGAGTTGGTATGTTTGAAATAGGAAATATCATTGTATCCAGATGGCGCGTTTTGGACCAATTTAAACTAGAAGTAGTAAGTGTATTCGGACAATGTGAGAGCTAAAGTATTATGATAATAATGGAGATTCAGTTTTTTTTTTTTTTCTTAAGTAAAACTTGGCAGATCGCTCCTAACATAAGATTCCTGACTACTTGCACCAACTCTAAAACCTAGATTCAAACCTTATCCTTAAATTTTGAATTTCAAAGTGGTCCATCACCCATATTCAATCATAACCTTATATTATATATAATAACTTATTTTTTTATGTTTTTCTTGATCGGCAAGACAAACAACTCTATAAGAATGCTTGAGTGCAATTTGTCTTTTGTTGACTACATTACTTTCTCCTATTGATAGAAAAATGAGTTTTAACAAATATTAAAGGATCTGCTCGTCTATGAATGGTGAAGGGGCAGTGCCATCTACACAAGACTCACTACACTTCACTCTGCAACTTTATTTATGTGTGTAAGGGTAATTATTATTTATATTGCCAGCCATCTAAGTAGTAGTCTTGACTTTAAATTATATAACATATAAAT